TTACTGTGTAAGAGGGAACTTTGTACCCCTTGGTGTGCTTGATTAGTGCAAACCTTCACCTTGCACAGAATAAATAATCTCACCTTTGCACACTGGACTGTCTGTGTTTAGAGAGCTCCTCAAATGGGCACATGGATGTGCCATCCCACCATGAGGATTGGTGTCACCCACAGGGGCAACCCAGTCCTGTTCCCCACTGCCACGTCCTAGTGGGGACACGGGTGTCAGAGTGGCCACCACCCCTGGCTGCCCTGGCAGTGCTGTCCCTCGCTGGGCTCAGCCATGGGTACCCCCACTGCCACCATCCCATGTCCCACTGGGTGTCCTGAGGCAGAAGGGCAGCAGTCCATGATCTGGGGTCACAGGAGAACAGGCATTGGTGTTGTGAAGGGCTGTGAGTGCTCCCCCAGCACCAGCACTGCCTGTGTGTGCAGCCACAGAGCTTGTCAAAGGGCAGAAAGGTTTCCTGTGTCCCTCAGGTGTCCCTGCCCTGCTCCCCGCAGGGTTCACAGGGTTGGGTTTGTGCCCCACAGTCCTGCAGGAGGCTGAGGACAAGCACATGGTGTTATCTGCCCTGTGAGGGTGTTGAGGCACAGCCACAGGTTGGCCAGAGCAGCTGTGGTTATCCCATCCCTGAAAGTGTTCCAGGCCAGGTTGGATGGGACTTGGAGCAACCAGTTGTAGTAGAAAGTGTTTTCAAAGGGTTGTGTGGTGGTTTGGGCTGAAGTGGAGTAGATAATGCAGAGATGTTTTTGTTCTTTCTCAGCAGATCTCACACAGAGCCAAGGCCTTTGCTGCTTCCCACACTGCCACACTGGTGAGGAAGATGGGAGCTTGGGAGGAGACACAGCTGGGACAGGTGACCCAAACCGACCAAAGGGATATTCCATACCATAGCACATCAAGCTCGATATATAAAGTGGGAGGAAGAAAGAGGAAAGAGGCACATTTAGAGGGATGGTGTTTGTCTTCCCAAGGAACCATTCCATGTGCTGAGTCCCTGCCCTCCTGGAGTTACTGAACACCTCCTGCCCATGGGAAGCAGTGGATTAATTCCTTATTTTGCTTTGCTTATGTGCATGGCATTTGCTTTCCCTCTTAAACTGTCTTTATCTCAACCCATGAGTTTTTCTAGCTTTTACCCTTCTGATTTTCTCCCCCATCCCACTGGTGGGGGAGTGACTGAGTGGCTGTGTGGTGTTCAGTGGCTGCTGGGGTTAAAACATGGCAGGTTGGAACAAAATAGTCTTCAAGGTCCCTCCCAATCCAAACCATTCCATGATTCTATGAGCTTGTGATTCTGGAAAGGACAATACCCAGAAGGAGAGACGCTGCTGCAGCAACTGGTGAAATTTCCTGCCTAAATACTTCTGAGCCCAGTGGGAAAAGGAACACAGGAGCTGTTCAGCCAAGTCAGGATGTTCCCCACAACTGCAGGACCCTGTAGTCTTGAAGGTGGCTCCAAGCAGCACCTCCCTCCCACCCTCACAGACTCACATGTGTCCAACAGGCTCCTCTTTATTAAAGACTTGTCAATGCACACAGAGAAAATGTACCATTCAAAACTCATGTTTTACATCTAGACACCCCCTTTGTTTCATGATTTGGGCAGAGCCTTTTTCATTTATCTTCATTTATTTCTTAAATTTGAGCCTAGTAAATCACTGTCCTGTCTTCAACAGCACCTTAACATCAGTGTGGGCAGGACAGGTTTAATGCCAACTGCTCTGGCTTGGGCAGTGTTACCTCTGCTGGCATCATGCTGAGGAGTTTGAGGATGCTTTTTCTCCAGAAATATTCCTGTTCAGAAAAGGTCCAAACATATAAGAAGAAATAAAAATGTATTTTGGAAATGAACTGTAAAGTCTACCAGACAAACACAAAAAAATCAACTAAACTTTAACTCTCCTTTTCTGGCTTTCATGAAGGGCTTTGGAAAAGATCCTGATTTCAGTTTTGAAGTAGGGACAAGTCCCAAATACAAGTTGTCTACATTTCTCCCTTTGCACAGCTTGACAAAGGAAATTGTGTCCTAGGGATACAGTAAACTAGTGTGATGTTTCACAACCTGAGACTCCTTTTTCCACTCAATTTGCTCATGTTGAATAAGAAGAGGAAATTTTCAGACATTAAATTTAGATTAAGCCATGACTGCTAGTAAAACCAGCTTGATCTCATTATAAATACGCCTTGACTTAAGAGAAAACAATTAGAAGATGAAGTGATTCTTAGAAGTCTAATAGTCTGTTGTTACAGAATATACTGTAGTGGGAGACAGTGACTACATAAAGAGATATTAGGTTCCTCAGACTCGAGAGGATTAGAGAAAATAAAGCAAACCTAATCTTTTCAGTGATCATTCCCTAAAACTGTGTGAGAAAATGTTGCCTCCCTTTGTCAGCAGTTATTAAAGCTGAGAAAATCTTTCCTGATAAGTAAGTATTTAACAGGATTTCATAGGAGAGATAAGTACACCAGGAGACATTTAGCTGTAATTAGGAATGCTCATTGATTTACTCTCTCCAAACCACCAAGGGTTGGTCATAACTGTTCAAAATACTGGATAAATTCACAAAGATTTCCTAAGTATGTGGTTTCCCACATCATTTTATACTAGAAGAGCAGGATCTGAGTTGGCCACAATCATCCTTGTAACAAAGCCAGCCACCTTCCCGTGCTCAGTGTCAGGAGGCAAAGAGATGTTTGTGTTTCCAGGCTGAAGTTAGCTGCTGCTTCCTCAGGCGTGAAGATGAGCTCAACGAGGTCAGCTGGAACCAGCTTGAGTTTGTTTCAAGAAGGCAGCATGGAGGAGGATGAAGTGTTCCTTCCACGGAGATGAGAGCGGCGACTCGCCTCTAATCAGAGCACTAATGCTTTGCCTTTGGCTATTTGTCTCCTAACTGAAGGACTGGAAGCCTCTCTGCCAAGAGAGGTGGTGCAGTCTCCATCTTTGGAGGTTTTCAAGACCCAGCAGGATAAAGCCCCGAGTAATCTGGCTTGGTCTCCTAAGTGATGCTGTTTTAAGCAGGAGGCTGAACTACAGAGCTCCTTAGGTCCCTTCCAACCTGAGTTATTCTGTTATTTTCAGCCATTTTACATCTACCATCTTTGGCTTTCTTCAGATACAAACTGATAAACATTAGGCTTAAACATTCATTTTTATAAAGCATGGCTAGAAAAAAAAGTAGTGGCTTTAGCTGCTTTGTCTGACTGAGACATATGACCCAGCCAGAAAGAGGTAAAAATCTCTCTACAAGATGTAAATATCATGATAGCTCTCCAAAGAAAAATGCTAACAAGGGTGAGGAATTACGAGTCTTTTGAGATACATAGCACAAGCCTATATGTGTTTACAAAACAAACTGGAACTGCAAAATAACTACCAAGACACATTTAAAGCACTACAACCCTCAGTGTCCTGCATAGTAAGGCCCAGGATGGATTTTGGGCATAACCTCCAATGGTTTCAAGGTTATATATCATACAGTCTAAGCTGCTCCTTCATGTCTCCTTCAGACATCTCTCCAAACGTGTCACTTTTTTCCTTCATCAGTCTGAAGATGGCAGCCAGCTGCTCTCTCTGAACCCTGTCAAGAAGAAAAGGAGAAGTAGGAATAGCCAGTTGCCAGAAGGCACTTGCAGCAAGAACACCATGGTCAAATGAAACACAGGGCCAAACACAGGTCACTGTACAAGCCTTAGTGGCTGCAGGAAATCTGCCCATGTGAGATAAGACAGAGATAGCCTCTGGTTCTCCTTCCTCTCCCTTCCCATCTATCCCATCATCCTGCACATCACTCCTGCAGTTCTGTAAATAAGGAGATAAACCAGACTGCTTTAACCCTAGCTTTGGTGTTCCTTAGGGCTTATCTGTGCTCAAAGTTTCGAGATAACTTGACATGTGGAATTTCATAAGACCAACATGTCCCAGTTTAGCAGACTCCATAATGAACCTGGACTAAGATTCAACAGCACAGTGTCCTTTCTGTATGCAGATACAGAGCAAATCAGGAATAGTCATTAAATTCTGACTGCATATCCTACCTTAAAACTACCTTCAGACTACCTTCCAGGGTGAACATGACTTTAATCAGCCACTGGAAGATAAGATCAGAGACAGAAATTTGCTTTGATTAGAGTTTGTCTGCCAATGATAAATGGTGAGATGGCCCCAGCTAGCCAGTCCAGCAACCAGGTGATCCCTGTATGACAAATGGATCACCTGGCTCAGACTTCTATCCCTAGGAAGTCCCAGACTAGATGGTTAACACCCTTCTCCCCGTAACAGATGTAATCCCAATTTTTCCCTACCCTGAAGCAGTTAACCTTTGTATGTCCTGAAGCACAAAGATTAGTCTCTGTAACAGAACTTTATCTGGGGGAGATTTATAGGAGGGCTTAGATTGGTCATACATCTACTGGTCATCACTCAGGGGTACAGGAGGGCAGCACAGGAGTGTCATATGTTCACAAGATGCTCATGAACTGATGTAACTGTCTACAAAATCCTCTTTTGGAGCAAAATAGATGTGCCTGATGCTCCAGGCAGGGCTGGCTGAGGGCTGGTACCTTCCTGACTCCTACCTGACTGGGATCAGATTGCTGTACTGCCTAATACATCTCATACCTGACTCTCCTGTGTGAGATTAAAGGAACTAATGAGGTTGTGGTGCTTTATGGCTGTAACAAGGGAGAAGTAGTTTCTATTCCTTCAAGGCTCAATTTTTCCATGACGTGACTGTGGAGCTGGAACTCAGTGGTAGCTCAGAGCACAGATCTGCCACAATCCCAGCTCCTCCTGCTAGTTTCAGCATCTTTAGAGCTCACATGGGCTAGAAAGACAGAATCTGGCTTCTACCTCATAGAATCGTAGAATTTAAGGGTTGAAATGGACCTCACAGACCATCTAGTCCCAGTTCCCTGCCCTGGGCAGGGACACCTCCTCACTAGATCAGGTTGCCCAAGGCCTCATCCAGCCTGGCCTTGAACACCACCAGGGTCTACCTTTATGTGTTCACCCTGTCAAGAGTCCTCTTTCCTCCCCCAACCAGCTTCCTGCATAGGACTTTAAATCACTGTAATTAAGCCATTGAAATGCATGTCACCAGATAACCTGGGGTAGTCTTCCTGCAAGGCCTGACTGGGACAAGCTATTAGTCATTCTAGTAACAGGAGGAGGAGTAATAACTATTGACAGGCAAAACCAGGACACAATCTTTGCTTGAAAGAAGGGATGGCATCAACCCATCAGCAGCAACCACACCACCACCAGGATCAGTGGAAGGAGACAGCCAGGAATGAGCAGAGGAACCTTCTCCACCTGCTGAGCTCCTGCTATGCTTTTTCCCCTCTCCTGGGCTAAGCCCCAGCAGAGGCAGGAACAGCAGCCTGTCCTCTCAGCACTGCTGAAGCAAACAGGGCAGGAAAGAAAGCAGATCCTGGCTGAAGCAAGCTCATTTGCCAGTTCTTTTCTATTGCAATTAAAATGTAATAGTCCTAAGGCCAAATGGATTCTGATAATGACGTGGGATCTTTCAGTTATGAAAGCCTGGATTTGTCTGTCTCTTCTGTAATGTTCTGTGCTCGCATGAAGAGCATCCAACTGCCCTTTCCAGACAAGAGGAAGGCAAGTAGGGTCGTTAATGATCAATATTTTATTTTACATCACCGCTGGGCACCAGAGGGCACATTGCCAGTCTGGTGTGGAGAAATTCAATACACAGCTTGGCCTCCTGTGTCTGCAGTGCATGGCACACAGATCTGCAGCCCTCACTTGTTCTTTCAGAGGCATTAATGCTGCTGAAGCCTCCCCAAAGTCCTGTTTCCTTGTCTCCAAACCTCCAAAATCAGGATCACATACAACATCCGCTCTGTTTTTTAAGCACGACATCAATGCATTCTACCTCTCCCCTCAGCATTAAACATCATGACTGTGCATTTAAAAAACAGACAAAAGAGCTGTTCCTGCTGTTACTTCTCCACACTACATAATCTACAACAAAGGGAAAGCAAAACATAGATAAAGAGAGAAGAGAGCCTGGGAAGGAAGAGTAAAGCATCAGAAACACGAAACTGTGTTCAATGAAGAGCTTCTGCCATCAAAGGTGACCTTGCAAAACAACTTTATAGTGCTCCAGGTTGTTTTTTTGGATGATTTCAGATCAAACCTACCCCGTTCACACGTAAAATCATTCTCTCTTCCCATAAGTGCTGTCCTCAAAACTACTTGGGTTCAGGAGGGCAAACAGGATTTTACTTATTGCTGACAAAATAGATTAATCAGGATTTTCAAAGCAGCCTAATTCTTCTTGATAGGCAATTGAATTTGCATACTTAACTCCCTTAGGCTCTTTTTAGGCATTTCAGTCCAAGACTTTCACAGTTAACTGGAGGTTTGGGGCACTGAGCCATAGGTATGTTAGAGGAGATCTTGGTTTCAGGAGCTGCTGGGCACCTGTGTTCACAGCAGCTGAAATCCTGGGCAGAGCTCTGCCTTGGGAATTGCTCCACAGCCAAACAAGACCAGGATCCAGCTGCAACACTGCATTGCTCCAGCAAAAATAAGGGAGTATCCCTGATCCCCCCCGATCTGACTCTGTTGTTAAGAAAACTAGTGGAATCATGTATGGGGTAAAAGGCATAGGAGAGCAGAATGTACCCCTAACCCAAACCCCAGATTTTCAACACAGATCTCTTGAGAAAGATGTTACAAAGTGCTGGAGAGAGGGAGAACAAGCACAAACCAAATAAACTATTCAAAGGTTTATTGGACAAAACAAAGGCAATTTTTACAGATTCAAGCCACTAGAATTACAGTCCTTTGTATAAGAGCCACCATCAGATACAAAACAAACAAACAAAACAAACAAAAGTAAAAAATACCCAGACAGCCATTTGAGTTGAAGAAATAGTTTGACTCGCTGCCACTAGCAAAAATTTGGGCTCAACTATAGACTTTGCTGGATGTACATATTGCCATGTAACTTAAACACAACGTATATAAGGCATTCTTTGCATAGTTGGGTGCTCAGGACACAGTCAGCCAGCCAGCATGGAGGGGAGACAGCAGCTGTACCAGCAGGATCTTAAAGCAGAGGGTCCAGATGTGCCTAAATTCATATGCAAACCACTGAACACACTTGCAGTTGTCAGCTGGGAAGGGGTAGCCCAGCCTCTTCTAAAGCTGAAGCCTCCTACTGTTCTTTAAATGAGCCCTTTTATTAAGAGTTTGCCAACCCCAGGCGCTGGAAAGGACAACTGTGTACAAGGTTTCAAGTATTGTCTGCATAGGAATTACAAAGGGAAAAACAAAACAAGCAGCTTGTTGGGTTTCTGATATGTTTGCAGCGTCAGCCAAGAGGCAGTCGTCCGGCAGTGAAAGAGAAGCTTCGAAGGACACATCCCCACCCAGCCTGGTGTCTCTACAACATCACTAAAGGACTCAGACCCTCTTCTCTCTCTCACAAACCACCTGGGTTTGATTTGAAACCTGCTGTATCTGAAGCAGGAATATGTGCCCAGCTGAATTCATCTGCTGTATGTGACAGAGCTGAGGGGCAATGCTGAGCTCTGGCTCCAGTGGACAAGCCACAGGGCTAGCAAGAGTAGAGGGCACTGGAACAGCAAGCAAGCAGAGGAATGGGGAGTGTGCCCCTCCCAGGACCCCCACAAATCTCATCCTGAGCCAGAGGGAACCCCTGTTGCCATAGCTACCTTCTTGGGTCTCTCTGCTTGGGAACTGGAGTAGGGAAAAAAGAGGACCCAGCTATTAACAGCAGTGAAAGTGTGGTCTTCTAAACCTCAACCACAAGCAGAACAGCTAAACTATTAATCACTTCTTGCATCTCCTGTGTACTTACAGAATCATCTCTCTGCTAAAAGAACTACAGAAGCAAGATTTGGGTCAGTCCAGCCATTGTCTGCCATCCCTCACATGGATCCCACTTTGTCCCTCCACCCCTCAGAGTAAAGCAGACCTGTACAACAGTTGAAACTACAGGCAGTTCCCACCCCTCAGCAATAAAGAGGAGTTTGGCCCCAGGACAGAACAAGAGAGCCTGGTACAAGGTCCAGGCTGGTCTGGGAGAAGAGCTAAGGTTCACCCATCCCAGGAAAGGAACAACACAGATTTCATGGCAGGTCTAATACATGGTAACAACCACAACTAATCGACTTGCTGCATGTTTAGTGTCCACTTTGGGTTCTGTTTGGGGGAGAGGGAGGAAGGTTCATCCCAGTCCCCCCAAACACAACTCAAGTCACTCTTGGGCCCAGCCCCAGTTCATGGAGTCACACAACAGGATCTCCTCAAACTTGACACCACAGTAGTTTTTGAAGAACTCAACTTCAGACCAAGAGGGGATCCCAAGTTTTGAGGGTTTATGGATTTCTCTTATGGGTGTGTTTGGTTGGTTTTGGTATTTCTCTCAAGCCTTTAAAGATGCCAAGGGATGCCTTTAGGAGGAGGCTAGGGACAACTTCATATAGTCTTCAGTTCTGCAAAGAGAAACAGGGAGAGAAATCATTTCAGTCATTTCACCCCTCAGGTTGGTTCATTATTATTCACATTAACGAGCAGGGGGAACAC